TTTGACTCCTTTCCCTGTCTTGTAATGAATTCCTTTTTATTGTGATCTATGTCCAATGGTGATAAGTGCCACAAAGTTTCTGTTTATCAAGAGATAGATCCTATTGGAGAAATCTTTTATTGGGAAAAGTCTTTTATTTCCATTTAGTTTTACTTCTTCCATTCTTACTTCAAAAGAGTAAGGTAAGATTTAAATAAGTAGGAAGATAACCTCTTGAAGAGAGTGGGGGCTTTATTATGTGCAGGTCATGCAAAACAGATCTCTTAATTTGATAAACAAGATCTGATACTATGGTGCATCTTTTATGTTCTTTGATAGATGGGTCTAAAATGAGACTTTTTCTAACAAGCAAATCAAGTATTAATTTTTTCACAGCTTCTTTGCTAACTTAGCAATTTTTACTCTTTTTAAATTCCCTTGGCTTGTACATTTAAAAAAAACAAACCACAACCAGACAAAACCCAACTAAGCCATTTAAAATGCTAGTATGCTAGTACATGGAGTACTAATTTTTTTAATAAAATATTGCTTTGCCTGAGATGGAGAAATACTCTACTGTGGTAAATATACGGGCTAGTACACTATCAGAGATTTACCTTTATTTGCATCCTGAAAGGACTTGATTTCCTGCATGATTCCTTGCTACTGCTGTACCAGAAAAATGTTATTAAATACACCGACTCTGTGAATTTAATGAAATGGGAAACCTATTACATCAACTTGAGTTAAAATCAACAGGAGTTGTTAACTGATCATACAGCTTTTTCACAGGTAAGGTCCAGCTGCTGCAAGCTAATGATGAGCCACATGAAGAATTAACTTAAAATACTGGTTAACTGTGTAATACAGGTAAATACTAAGAATTCGAGTATTTGCTTGCCAGTGGCTATTAAGTGGTTTGTTGGGGTTTTGTTGTTGTTTTTTGTTTTTGTGGTTTTTTTACATTAATTTGTATGTGTTTCTTTTCTGTCTGTCTTTCACTACTTGTATTATTCGAGAACATGGCCATTTCGGTACCTTCTTGCGAAGCAGACTGAAGACCAGAGAAACCTTTAATTTACCTTCAGGAAGTATTTGCTGGTACTGTTGGATGCTGGTACTGTTGTAACAGTTTACTTGCTCCAGCCAGAATACTTTGGTTTGGTTTCTTTGTGCTGTAGCACTTTCTGCAGCAGAAATTTTATTTAAAAGAAGAAACAAGACAATCTGTACAGTGATACTGTGTAAGGAAAAGTTGTAGTGGAGACCTAGCTGAAACTGATTCTGTAGCACTGAGAACCCTGAGCTCTGACTGCAGGGTTAAAATCACGGATGGGGGGAGAACAAAAGACTAACAGTGATGCCTTGAGCGTAAGCTACTGTTCTGAAAGCTAAAGTAGCAAAATGAACTGTTTTGGCAACTCGGCTTATGTTCCTGTAAGAATTGTGTCAGACTAGTTTTGTTAAGGTTCATAAAGGTACTAAAACTGGAAAAGGAACCTCTCAATGCGTACTGCGGGGCAGTCCTGTATATGTAGTATTGTAATGCAGCTCTTTGGAACGTTTCCCAATGTCTCTTTAAAATGACTGCGTTACAGCTTAATTATAGGTAAAATCCGCCTAGGTTGGCTGGAATAAGGAGGCATGTGTAACTAGGGAGCGGAGTGGTGGAAGAAGTAGAAGAGCTTTCAGTATGAGAGATAAACATGACTTCTTGGCTTAAACCAAAATAGGCCTAGGTGAAGCCAGTCTCCCTGGCCTCTGATGTTTGGCTGCATGATGTTGGACAGTGGCATACCCTAGATGATGAATTTTGTTAGCTTTGCGTAGTGATACAAGGTAAATACGGCAGCATGCAGCTCTCATGGTTTTTTGTGTAAGTCTGTGTGTGGTACTTTGTGTGGCACTGGCTTTTTCTTAGTGTGCAGATTTCTCTGTGCAGCTTCCAACAAAACTCTGTCAAAGAATACACTATGAGAAAAAATGCCCTCAGTAAAATGGGGAGAGAGGATGCATCCGTGGCCTATAGTTAGCAAGGATCTGAAAAGGATTTTGAAGAACAATAAACCCTCAGCTGCTCTGACCCCATGCCACAAGGGAAATGCGATTACAGTCCTAACCAATGCACAGTTCAGGTCTCAACTTGGACTTCATCCTTGCAGACTGCAAGTTTGTGATTCCTGCAACAGATGCTTTTGTATCCATATCTCATATGTACTGACTTGTACATATGAGATGTGTGTCAGACTTTTGTGTGGCCACTCTGCTTTAGCAGTTACAATAATTCTCCTGTTAGCCTTTGCATTCTAAGCATTAATCTGGATCTGTGTTTTCTAAAAGCTTGTAAAACTTAACTTCAGGTGGACATCCAAATGTTTCTGGGCTTTTTCTCCCTACTGGAGAGAACAGCATTGCATATTGCATTTTAAGACTGAAAGCTGTGTGATCCTTTTGCAGTCAAACTTTCTGATTTGCGAGTGGCTCTTCTTTATTTTACCCGAGTATCTTTTCAAACTGTTGTATCCGAGTGTGTGACTGTGCACAGTAAGAATATATTGATAAATGAAACTTTCTGTCAATAATTACTTTTGAAATGCGAGAGTCATTGGAGTGTTTTACATGGCGTAATTTAAATTTAACTGTAACCAAAACGTTGCCTGTACTTAGCCATGCGAGTGTACTCGGCAGGAAGTGGTAGCACATGTCACCAGGCCTGCTCTACGAATGTTTGCAGCTCACCACTTCCTGTTACTGGAGTGAAAGAACAAAAGAAACACCAGTTTCTAGTTCATTTTAGCCTCTAAAAAGTTGCATTTATTAAACAACTTAGTATCATAACAGAGTTATTTATGACCTTCCCCTCTATAGTCTTCTTTCAGCTTTGAAATTTGTCTTTATTTGAGAGTTTTGGTGAAGTTCCTACTAGGAATTCCAAGAAGATACTTTTTGTGGAGATCCTGAGTTTTTAGAAGTGATCAAAGGAATGGTTGTATAAATCATTTTGGTACTGTGAGGGAAATGGCTAACCACAAGAAACCAGTCTGTCTGAGGCATGGATTGGTGCTGATAGATATCTAACTGCAGCGTAAGCTTGCTTTCTCAGAAAACCATCCCTACAGGAGTCTTTCGCTCTTGGTGCTGATGTGTCTTAGCTTCAGTAGTTGACAGTACATACAGAACTGTCTTTAAACCACAGTCGTCTCTGAACTGAGTTTTCCCAATAGTTGTTATACTTAATTCTAACACTTCAGGCCTAGACACAAAGGAGCTTTTAAAACTGATGCAATTTGCTGTTGTCCATGATGCAATACCCTTTCCAGAAAGATCTGTATTTGTGCTTTATAACTGTTGAGGCCAAAAGAAAATCTATTCAGAGCAAAGGTCGTTTGTGTTCAGGCCTGAATACAATTACCTGTGCTTTTGGCAGGTGTTGCATCTAGTTAGGAAAAAAATCTTTACAACAGGGGAGACACAAAATACCTATCAAATTTAAAATGCAACACTTGCCAAACTTCTGTTACATATGATAAGGAGTTTTTTTTAAGTACACATCACTTGTACATCATTTTTTTGAAGAATGCGAATTAGTGAAGGTAACGCTTTGCCTGTAAATTGGCTAGTGAATCTGGGGAAATTGCAATTGTAGCAGTAGCGATAGCATTTTAAATTAATGCAATTAATTTCATATGCTGTTAAAAGTGTTGATGTGATATTTCTGCTCATAATTTGTATTCTAACTAATGGGCTAAACTATGTTTCCATAGCACATCAAGATTAAGTGGCTGAAACTTGGTATTTTTGGTATATTAAAATATTAATATCACATGTGAGAAGAAAGTCAAATAGTTAATGAATGTCCATATTTAATATTCAAATGCTACTGTAGTATATTAAAAAATCCTGTAGCTTTCTGTTTAAGTGATAGATGAATTCTTAAAGCTAGAAACAGCATTATCCCAATTAAGATACTCTTGATAATTGTCACTTAAATTACATCTGAGGAAAGAAGAAATTAAATAAATAACAATAACCCCCCCAGTGTTTTACGAACTATGACTAAGTATCAAGTAACTGTTTAAGATTAGTGAAGAAAAAATGGGCTGTTAGTTTCAAAACAGATTAATTGGGGGCTACATGAGGGTGGCCCTTCTGGGATTCAAAAATCTGGCAGTCACATAGTGGGACTTGAGCAGTCTCAATTTGAGCTACGTTATAGTATAGGTTTAGAGATGCCAAAATAGTCCAGGGTAAAGGCTAATCTGTTTGGGAATCTTGGCGTTGATTCATAGGTACATTTGATCCCTCTAAACCTTAAGGGACATCATTAAACACTTCTGAATTGATTTTTTTTTTTTTCCCTCCCACCCATGGCTTAAAATCTGTTTTCAAAATCAACCTCAGAACTGATGGGTACCATGTGGAAATGTAAGGGGAACAAGGGAGAGAAGTGTTTTCTTGATACCTTTTGGAGCTTCCTCGACAACCTAAGTTACTCCTACACTGGTGTTCTTGCAAAAGTCCCATGCATGGTCTACTTCAGCCACCTTTTTATCTCCTGTGATGCTTTACCATTTACTGTGATGTCTGATTAGATTGCATTAAATATCAGTTTTGAAAAGTAACTAAAGAGTCATAGTATGTATTTTTCCTCAGAGCCAGCGGAGGTTCTAGGGAATTTACTTGAACTGCAGCGGCTAGTCAAAAGTTGAGGAAAAATGTACGTTCCAACTAATGACCTTATTGGTGTAAAATGGAAGGATTTTGAGATTAAATCTGTCTCTCATAATCTTGGCTAACTCTAGTAGTGAGTCTAAGTTTGGTCTATTTTCATTGTTTAGAATAATTTATCCTTGACATGTTGGATGTGGCTGAAAACCTTTGAGCATCCCCAGCACTTCCTAGTGTTTGGAAGAAATGACGGGTTCAGAATAATTCTTTTGCCTAAGTTTTCTCTTAGCAGATTGTCAAAAGGAAACTGAACACTTCCTTTTAATTTATTGTAAAACTTAGAGTATCTCTTTCTCTGGCAGGAATCGACTTTAAGATCAGAACAATAGAATTAGATGGAAAGAAAATCAAGCTACAAATATGGTAAGTATTCCAAACTAATTTAAGTTTTCAGTGAGTATTGAATTAATCCTTGAGCAGGAATAATTCATAGCTTTCGAGCCTGGATGTACTGGAAGTTTCATACCTCTTACTCATTGACTATCCATAAAGTTTAAGCTTTCTTCTAGCATGCTCTTGGAGTGGTTCTGCTTCAGTAGCACAGGAAATAGCCTGTTCACATGCGAACGTTACAGCAACTTCCTATTTTATCAAAAGCTGCCCTCTTAAATGCGCTTTCAGCTATTCCCTGTGGAAGAGAAGTATTAACTCCATAGCTGTAAACTAGAATATGCGACCTCATCAAATGTAATCTCCTCTGATAGTTTGATACCTAGTTGTACTCACAGAGGCACGGGTGAGTGATAATGCTCCCGTTCCTTGTATGGTAGGTTAGTAGAGACTGAGCCTCCTGACAGCAGCAGATGAATATATTTGGAGCGGCATTATTACACATGCGAATCTCTTCAAATGTTCCTAGTGAAGGTAGAGCTCTTGCTGATTTCTCAAGTTCTAGAAAAGATAGTTGTGATGCTTGCATGCGAGCCAGAGTTCTTGTGACTAAGGAAGTGAAGCGCCAGAAGCGGTTGGTACAAATTTTCTGTCTGTAATATGAGTCAAAAAGCTGTGTTTTGTCATGCCTTTGGGGTTCAGCTCCCCCTAGGTGTGACTAGTAGCCATACGCTTTGATCCTCTTGTTCACTCAGAGACATACTGCTTTGAAGTCATCTAGGATAAAATATCGGCACACAAAGGTATAGTGGCTGATTTTAATACCTAACTGTATGTGAAAAGGCACTTTTCTAAAATATTTTACTGCTGCATGTTTTAATTTTTAATGCAGGACTCAGATGCATCAGAGCTGCCTTTTTTTAATTATTCTAGGGAAGGTTGTGTAGTGCTGAGTTTTATTGCTTGCATGAAAATGTGAATGCTTTGTGCCATATTTATGGTGCTGCTATAACCACAGATGTAAGTAGGATAGCTTGGGAGTAAGGAAGATGTTGAGGGCTGAAGAAACTTGTGTAAATGGCTTCTGAATGGTATTTTTTTTTCTTAGTGAGTGAGTATTAATTCATTGTTAGTCTGTTTAAAAAGACCTCTCTAAGCACAGAATAGTGTAAAGATCACCTCCAACAAATACTTGTTTTTACTGAATTCTAGGGATACAGCAGGCCAGGAGAGATTCCGCACAATCACGACAGCTTACTACAGAGGAGCCATGGTGAGTGCTCTAACTTAAAAAAAAAAAGAAAAAAAAAATAGGCACAACTAGTGTAACTGGTTTGCTGTTCTTAAGGTTATATCATGTAAGTCTTCAACTGGACGATTGGATAATGGTGGCTTGAGATGCAGGAATAAAGTTTGTGGTTTGGTTGGGGGTTTTTTTGGTTTGTGTTTTGTTAAACCTCCTGGTATGTTGTCTAGTCCTGTTTTTTGTGATGAAACTTCAAGCCCTGTTGTCTTTTTTAATATCATTAAAATTTCTGCAGATTTTAATAAGAAGCTAAGTTGCTAAGCCTTAATGAGACAAGTTTTTAGTGCAATCAATAAATTTAAAATCATCCTTTATCTATTTTTCAGACATTTCAAATGATTAATGTTAAAAGTGTATTTCACTGAACTGTTTTTCCTTCAGCCAGTAGAGAATGCGAAATCTGGGCTAGAAATACAATCACATGCAAAAGCTACTGTTACTTTTTCCTCCATTAAGAATGACTTGAAGTCAAATAACTGACTTAGACCACAAAGAGTGCAGGCTCCAACTGCTTGTAATGGTTCTTAATCCTGTGATTTGAGATGCATTATGTTGGAACACTGTTAAATTCAACTTGCTGATTACTAGCTGTGCTGCTACTACATGTTCTTGTTGCTTTATACAAATGGATCCGTTCCATTCATAGACTGGCTGTGGGTCCAGTTAACAGCACTATTATGGAACACAGATGGGGAGAAATGGTATGGGTTGTAGCTCTGTGTTAGAGCTTTCTGGTACTTAAAAAGGTTTTGGCAGTGACATGGTCTCCCCACCTCCCATTCCATGGGCAGGGAATGATTGGAAAGGCAGTAAGGAATGGAGGTGAATCTGGCCATCTGTCCGTAATGGAGCTGTTGTATGGTTTCCCATGCTTTACTGATCGTTGAGAGCCCACACTAGAATATGTACATAACTGTTTGAAAGAGCTAAAGCTTCTGAGAGAGCACCTAGTGTCAGCTTTGTTGTAACTATCTACTGGCCTGTCATGGTTTAACCCTGGCTGCCACCTAAGCCCCACACAGCTGCTCGCTCGCTCCCCCCATGGTGGGATAGGGGAGAGAAAGAGAGAAAACTCGTGTGTTGAGATAAAGATGGTTTAATAGGTAAAGCAAAAGCCATGCACACAAGCAAAGCAAGGAATTCATTCCCCACTTCTTGTGGGCAGGCAGGTGTTCAGCCATCTCCAGGAAAGCAGGGCTCCATCACACATAACAGTTACTTGGGAAGACAATTGCCATCGCTCCAAGTGTCCCCCTCTTCCTTCTTCTTCCCCCAGCTTTATATGCTGAGCATGACATCATATGGTATGGAGTGTCCCTTTGGTCATTGGGGTCAGTTGTCACAGCTGTGTCCCCTCCCAGCTCCTTGTGCACCCCCAGCCTACTCACTGGTGGGGTGCTGTGAGGAGCAGAAGAGGCCTTGACTCTGTGTAAGCACTGCTCAGCAATAACTCAAACATCCCTGTGTTACAAACACTGTTTTCAGCACAAATCCAAAACACAGTCCCATAGTAGCTACTGTGAAGAAAATTAACTCTATCCCAGCCAAAACCAGCACATGCCCCAGCAGATTGGATCTCACAAGTTTGTCATCTTTGACTGCTTAAAGCTGCTGCTTCTATACTTGCCTTTGACACTAGAGTCCTGGTTGCTGTTGTAGTAGAATTTCTAAACTTGTCCTGACTATAGGCTAATAATTTAAAACTTCATCAGGTGCTGTTTTTGATCTCTAATAGTGGCAAAAGATGTTAAATAGTAATATTTTGGGTACCACCTTAATAACGTCATAATGCTTTGAGAAAGGATTATAGGTGTGTAAGTCATACGTTGAGTTTCTTGCAAGTATAATCAAACCAACAGCATAGATCAAAATCAGCCAATAGTGCTAGCTCATCTAACCTAGGTTTTCTTAATTTTATTTAGGGAATCATGCTGGTGTATGACATCACAAATGAAAAGTCTTTTGACAACATAAAAAACTGGATAAGAAACATAGAGGAGGTAGGTGCTTTGGAAAGTACGTCTTACTTGTTCCATCTTAAGATTTTCCTGGGCCTAATAATCAAGTAAATATTCACTTTCATTATAGTAGCCAACATATATGGCAAAGTTAGACTATGCAGTGAATGCAATAGTGGTTATTAATGGGGAGAATATTATCTTGTTCATCTGGGGATAGAAGGTAGAAAACTTAAGTTTGAAAAGTAAGGATAAAGTGTTTTAAACCACCTCTTACTATATATGACTTCTATTGTTCTTTTTTGCGTTTCGGTATGTCTAAGGAATGGGAAGGAGCAAGATCTTAGGGTGTCTACCTTTCACTGAGTTGATGACACATCTGTCTAATTTCAGTTATTATTGTGTTGTGTGTTTGTCCAATTAGAGTTTTTTGACTGTTTCATTTGCTCTTGGGTAAGCTTCCTTCTTGCTAACTTATTGTAAATTATTTAATAGGACATGCTGTCAAGTAGGGACATGTCATTTTGAAGTTAGAGGAGAAACCTTAATTTTAGTGAAGCCATAGCTAGGCAACAGAATCTTAGCTGTTTTGTTGGTTTTTTTTTTTTTCCCCCCTGAAACATAAAATCCATGGGCTTTTCTTTAGGATTGTTCTTTGACTCTTAAGCAAAATTCCTGTATTAGTCACCAATTTGATTCAATAGTCACTGGGCTAGAAAAGTTCTGTTATTGAAGTGATTATTACTTAAAAAGCCACTTTATTAATAATCTGTTTCAAAATAATGCAAATGTATCACATAATGATACTCCAAACAAATACCTCAGATGTCTGTGTACCATTTGATTTCCAGAGTAGCCAAATGCCTGTGCATGTGCGTGTGGTACTGTATTTGATCTGTAATAATACACAGGCAAATTTAATCTAGGAGGATTTATTCCAACCTATTTTAATATTTAAATATTAAATTGCCTGTTTCAAAAGTCAATCTCTTTCTCAGTAATGCTTTTGCATTAGGTAACTTTTTAAAAATAAAATATTCATTTGTGGATGAGTTTGACACATAAGTAGGTTTCTTTTAAATAGTGATGCACTTAGCTTCTGAGAGATTACTTTTTCTTCTTTCAGCATGCCTCTTCAGATGTAGAAAGAATGATCCTGGGTAACAAATGTGATATGAATGAAAAAAGACAAGTCTCAAAAGAAAAAGGGGAGAAGGTAAGCTTTGTTGACTTGGCTTATTTAGAAGCCTGCTTTTCTTAGGATTTTGGCTGCTGGGTATTTGTTATGTCTTAGGCATATGAGAGACAATGGGCCTGAAACCTCTTGTTTCAGAAATTTTTATATATTCTAGAACGCCAGGCTGGGGGTTTTTATTTTTAAATAGCACTTGACTGTCTTCAGGCTTGAATAAACTTAATGGCACTGTTGTCTTGAGGGGAAGATCCTGTAAAGAATGTTGACCTTTGCTATAGTGTGAAGTATTCTAAATCTCAGTATAAAGCTTTGTATGTAGTTTGATCATGTTGTACTCAATTGACCATGGTGGTTACTTAGTCTTGTCCTAAAAAGGTGTTATAAAAGCTTAAGTAATTAGTTGTTTAGCAGAACAAACAAGCAAGCAAGAATACTATGTAACGTATCATGTACACAGCTAAAGTAGTGTAGTTGCTAGTAACACAACTTACGGGACGATTGCATGTCCTGGTCCATAAATGCATATCAATGAAAAAATCTATCTTGATGTTCTTTTAAGTCCCAAATAAGTCTTTTTGTGAGCAATTAATCTCTGTTGGTTTTGAATTTACATGAGCCTATGGCCTGTTCTAATATTTTGTCTTAATTAAAGTTTTTGCAAGAGAAAAGCAGAAATGAAGGTTGTTTGGGATTGTTTTTAAAGTTTACTGTAGTATACAGCATCTGTTCTATTATGAACCTGTGTGAAACATTACTTTTACAAAGGAACTTCAAAAGCACTGAAAAACTTTAACGTCTCTTCCAGTTAGCAATTGATTATGGAATCAAATTTTTGGAGACAAGTGCAAAATCCAGCATAAATGTGGAAGAGGTAAGAGATGAGCGTTATGCTTATGTGTGTTTCTCGAACTACTACTGTGGAAGCATGTTTCATAATCTACTGGGCTTTCTGACCTGATCTGGGACCTGAAGTCCCAAATGTGCTCCTGGATCACCAACCTTGTTATATATAGAGGACTACTGTAAAATCCAGCATTTCTTGGTTTTTTTGGTAATGTCTGGAATTGTTTTTTAAATGGGTCTTAACAGGGTGGTTTACTATTATTGTAGCAAACAGTTCCCAGCAGGATCTTGTACAAAAAGTTGCTTTAGACTTCTGTGCTTTGCTACATTAATTGCAAGTGATTTTGGTCAGAGGATAGGTGGTGGTGTGATTTAACCTGGCAGGCAGCTAAAACCACCACACAGCCGTTCACTCACTCCCCCTCCCAGTGGGATAGGGGAGAGAATTGAAAAGAAAAAAGTAAAACTCATGGGTTGAGATAAAGACAGTTTAATAGGACAGAAAAGGATTATAATAATAATACAAGAGTATAGAAAACAAGTGATGCACAGCACAGTCGCTCACCATCTGGAACTGATACTCAGGTAGTTCCTGAGCTGCCTGCCTCCTGGCCAACTCCCCTAGCTGAGGATGACATCAGGTGGTATGGAATATCCCTTTGGCCAGTTTGGGTCAGCTGTTCTGGCTGTGTCCCCTCCCAACTTCGTGGGCACCCCCCACCTTCTCGTTGGCAGGCTGGTGTGAGAAGCTGAAAAGTCCTTGACTGCTTGGCAACAACTAAAAACATCAGTGTGTTATCAACATCATTCTCATCTTTAATCAAAACACAGCACTATACCAGCTGCTACTAAGAAAATTTAACTCTATCCCAGCTGAAACAAGGACAGCTGTAATTTTAGAACAATGCTTTGTGCAGGAAACTGGATTCAAGATTCTTTCAGAATAACATGCTACTGTGGCAAGGAGCCTTCAGGTTACTAGTAAATATGTGCTGTGCAGATGAGACTGAAGATTTGTATGTTAACCTAGAACGTCAGCTTAGACTGTCATAAGCTGATGTTAGAGGAGGAAGGCAGCTTATAATACTCTATCTGTAGACTTGCAATCTGTTTTCCTGCAAATAAATTTTGTGCTAAAACCACAAGATCCCTACTTATGAGAGCATAAGGAAATAGAATCGGAAGGAAGAGTGTCTCAACTCTTACCATGAATCACTCTTGTAATCTCAAGGAGGGTGGGGGAGGATCTTAACTCTACAAAAAGTGTGGACAAGAAAATAGTATGATATCAAAAGGCAGTTAGATTAAGATTCATTCAGATGAGGCATATTTGTTCTTAAATGTTGTTCCTGTACCTAATAATCTAAAAGCCTTTCCATGTATATTTATGGGATACCTTTTAAAAAAGTCCTCCAAGCATGTACTTAATTCAGGTCATGCAGCTAACAAATTAACTAGAAACTGAACAGACTGTTACTTTAAAATAACATGGCTGATGCTGTGCCAGTCGAGTGAGTTGTGTTGGGTTTTTTTTCCCCTAATGATTACAGGATGATTGTTATACAATATAGCTAGAGTGGACTTATTTGCATTGTGCAGTATCTGGACTAGTGCTTGACCTGATTTTCACAGTGTCATTATGATTCTTCCAGCAGACAATAGAAGTGTGAACATCAGCAACTAATACCAATGGTGGATAGCAATAGTCTCCTAATAAAAAGTACCTACCTTCTTCATTAGTTCTTCCAGATGGTTTACTCGCTCTTTCATGACGTGCCCTGCAATTTCATTTTAACTCCTGTAGGTCATTAAATGTACAAATTAGTTTGTGCTTACTCCAAATGACTTGGCTATCTGATTATTTTTTTGAAATTGTCACATGAATAGTGAAGAAAGCATTAAAAAATGTGGCTAGTATAGGTATTCAGCAAGTAACGATTTAGTCTTCTTTCCACCAAATCCTTAACTTGTGGGAAATGACACAATTGTGGTATTCTTGTGATCAGAAGTGAATTAATTTATTTTATTTGTTGTGATTTATTTGCATTAAATGAGTTTCTATCTTTTGATATATTCCAAACACAATGAGAGGCGAAATGTTTACAGTTGTTCACATTCTGGAGCTGTCTTTGGATTGTTGCTATCTCCAGATAGCCTAAAATCTTGCTTTTCTGTGCTTCTGGAGAATTGCAGAACTTTTCTGCTACAGAAGTTTCTTTGCTCCTTCGTACGCTGAAGTCTGAGATGCTGATTTTTGCCAGAGTGAATTTATTTATTTATTTGTTTTAAATTAGGGATGTTGGAAGCATAAATAATATTATAGATAGCCCAGGAGCAAAACTTCTGGAGGACCGAAGTGCAAGTTAACCTTAATGTGACTTCCCAGGCATGCCATCCTGAAACCTCTCTGTGGGTTTCTAGTTGTGATTCACAGTACAGTTTGGCAACCCCCCCCGTACTAGTACGCAATGGGAAAGCTGTTCACTTGGTTCAAAGGTGGGAGGGATGAAGACTAAAAATAAGTATTTTTTTAAAAAATTCTAAAGCATGCTTATTGCAGTTTTAAGTAAACAGATGTTGTACATAGTGCCTTGCAACTCAAAGTGCTAGCAGTGACCTACAGAATACTGTACTGTTAATGTGTCTGGCTACTCCAAATCTATCTTAACTTTAATGTGTCTTGTGACTAACTCTTTTTTTCTTTTTCTTTTTGTTTTTAATTTCCACTCCTCACCAGGCATTTTTCACACTTGCACGGGACATTATGACAAAGCTCAACAGAAAGATGGTTTGTATTTCCAATTGTCATACAAACTAGATACATTGAAATGACTGCTGTAATAATCGGCTGAGTAGTAGCGCTGCTAAAAAACTCCTGGGGCTTATGGTGGATGCTGAATCAAATTTGAGCAAACAGTGCTTTATCACACATCAGTGTGTAATTGTTCTTTATTTTGCATGAAGATTAACATTGGGCAGCCTGAAACTGATGTGTTCTTTCAAAATGTAACAGCGTGATCCTTGCTTTATTAAACATCGGATTACATAGTAGCTTCTTCAGCTAATACTTGGGATCTGGATTGTTGGATAGATGTTTCTTTTTGAAATAGGCAGTTTTATCCAGTGATTAACAGAGTCTGAATATTAGGCAGTTTTCTTGAGTGATAAACAGAGTCTGGGTAACTGAGGAGCTCAAGTTGCAACAAACCTCTGCTCTGGTTACTAACTTTGCAAGGGAGGAAAGTGGGGAGGGAAACTAGGAAAGCTGGACTTACTTTTTCTCCATTTTATGATGTTGATACTCTTTTCTGTTTCAGAATGACAGCAGTTCATCGGGGGCAGGTGGGCCAGTAAAAATAACAGAAAATCGATCTAAGAAGAGCAGCTTCTTTCGATGCACGCTACTTTGATGAACTTCTAATGATAGACTGCAGCACACTTAGAACCTTTTCTGCTTCTTTGAAAGCACAGGGTCACAAAGCCTCAGAAATAATACCACCAAGCTGCTGCTGAGAGCTCCATTGAACGTAGACTGCGATACACAAAATACCAAGTGGATTTTGCTCACTAAGCCTATTGACCTGTCAGGCTCTTCTTTCTCAGATATGGAAGCTATGAAGTGGAGACACAAATGCAAGAGTTAACTTGTTTTCCTTTTTTACTTTCTGTTTTACTGCCTGTTGCAAAAGCTGCTATGTTTCTTTTAACTTTGCACATCCATATTGGCCTCTTACTGCCTGTTACAGCACAATCTTACACTTGTATTTGCACAGTTTGACTTGTAAGTAAGATTCTTAACAGATTTGTGCAGGTTTTTCTCTCTCTCTTTAAACAAATTTATTTTCAAGCAGAAGAGCCAGGGGAAAAATAAGTCTCGCTTCCATTATTTTCTATGCTGTATACTTGTGGCCATGACTGCAGTATGGATGTTGACACTCTAGTGATGAGAATTACTGTAACAATTGGCATTTAACAATTTGTGTGGGGGTTTGTCTTAGATGCACAAATCTGTTCATGCAGAAGCTATGGCTTCTATTCTGAATGTAGTATGTTGCTTTTCTTTCTTTACCAGACTTAGCAAAGATGTGTTCTGAATTGCCAGCCACTGTCTGATTCACAGATGCACCTTTCAGTTATGTGAATACACACAGTGTCTTTCCTCACTTAACATCCCTTTGTTAGCTCGAACTGTCTGCACCTTTTTTTGTTTCTGATGAGGAAGTACACTCTGGAGTCGAAGTCATCGTCACAAATTGGCCTCATCACTATCACTGAAGTGGCTTGTGGAAGCTGAATGCATGAGTTCTGAGTAACCTCTTTGTGGATTCATTTGTTCAGAAATGACTGCTTCTAAAGGTGACTTCCATTTCTACTGTAATTCTAAGGAGAGTTTGTAATGTTTGTAAGCATCGACCCTTGATGACAGAGGTGTCCAAAACTAGCTTCCTGTGCAGTTGATAAAGTTGATGAAGTTCTGGCACTAAGGAAAGGGTCACATTAGGGCTATAATGTACTGTTAGTTACGCAGTTAGTGCTGAATGTGTGAAGCCCTCTTTGGTCTGCTCAAGCAGTTGTTTTTTCATCAAAAACTAGTACAGTGACCTAGACTGTTAGAAGCAGAGTTGAAACGTAGTTGCCTTTTTTACTCAACTGAACATTGTATAACCTAGTCTTTGTTCTACTACTTTTCTATCGTCTTCTGAAAAAAATTCCTCAATGAGCAATTAAAACAGGTGCTTTAGTTCTGTTGATGTGCCAAACTTGGACCATTGTAAGCTTTAACTACAAGTTTGTGTCCAGCTTGTTTGTTATTAGGGGATAGGTGTGTTCTGTCATTGTCAAAGTTAATGTCTGACGTGCTTGCTTTTGCTTCACTAAACTGTCTGGAGTTGTAAACAGTGCGTTGGTTGTTACCACAGAGAACTGCTTTATTTTGTGGTGACAGGTACTGAATTTGCCCTCTCTGGGTCTGTTGTAAATATTTTGAAAGTGAACGGGCCAATAGCATTAGATTTGAAGACTTTTGATTTTGAAAGATTTAACATTAGTAGCTGGTTCCATAAAGTTTTAAGTGTTTACCAACTTGTCCCCACATGTAGTTTCATAGAAATAGTTATTGTAACTAGATAGTGGTGAATCTCATAAACTGCTGTTGCTGCACTAGAACAGAAAAATCTTTGTGGCAGCAAGGTTTAGTGAAAAAACAAAGCAACCCTAACTGCTCTGTTGTCTACCCTTGATGTTTTTCTTGGACAGGCTACAGCGGTTATGTATTCTGTATGGTTTAAAAAAGTGCTTCTATACAGAAAGTGTTGTGACACCAATTATGAATGTTGTTTATTTTTAGTAATTTACCTCTGACTTATTTGGTGTCGTAATACTTTGATTTTTATCTCAGGGGTTGTCTGCAAACCAAAACTGACATGTTCTGTGTTTGGCACCGTTTACAGAATGCTCTGTATTGTTTTTCCTGTCTTTGCTGTGTGGCTGTGTGGTTAAATGTTCATTCAATATTAGTCTCCATGAACTTCCCTTTGAAAGAGCCTGTAAGTAGTAGAGTCTATGAAGTGCTTCTTGAAGCAGCAGCGAATTGGGGTATCTGCTCTGTATGGGGACGGGCGGGGAGGGGGAGAAAAAAATACTTGCTATTTTCTTACACTTAGCTGTGCTAAACTGTACATAAATGTGAGGTAAGACCATAGGAAATTCACTTTATGCATGATAAAATAATGCAGTAAATATTTCACTTTGCTTAATGTTCATGTAAAGTTCATCTTTTTCTATTTGTAGAAGAATTTAATGCAATTTTGTTGTCCCCTGCTGAAACTGAAGAATTCTAATTTCATGTGGTCTTATGGATAAGGTAAAATGCAGATTTCTCTCTTTCTTTGTTGTTTTGCCCCGCCCCCTCTTCTCCAGCAGTATTAAGTGGCTGAGTGGCTGCACTTTATTGGTGTGCTAACTTTTGGTCAGTATAGACCTCATTCTGTGTACAGTCTGCCTTGTCAGACATTGAAAAATGTGCTGTATTTTAGCGTGCAAATCAGCTGTATGTTTTACTGGGAATTTTTTTAGCTATGTCTTCCTTTAGGCGAGCGGATAAAGCTAAATGGTATGTTCTGCCTATGCATCAGGTGCTGGGTACTACAGGCTTTTCTAATATCACTATGATTGTTTTGTGCAGTCTTTGTTGCTACTTTACTCAAAACTATATAATCCAAATTTTGAAGGACTCTTAACTATACCTCAGTCAACTAGTTAGTATTCTAAAGTCCATTAGAATGAAAGTCATACAATTATTATTCATTCAGCAGCAAATGTATTTCTCTTTTGTTCCAGAAATTGCCATTAACCTTTCAGAAAAGGCAGATGTGTTTTGGTGGATTTCAATAAATCAAAAATGCTGCTCATGCTGTTGAGTTCTATGAAATCTTTCCCTCAGCCCCATGTCTGTGCACTATATCTTGGCCAATATTTTTCTAAATGGTTTAAAAAAAAAAAAAGCCAGACAAAACGCAAGCTGATCTCAGTGCTTTGCAATTTTAGCTTTCAGTCTGTGCTCAGCAAATCATGGACAAGAAGTTTTTGTTGAGGGTATATAGAATACTTGATTTACTTACTGTCTGGAAGTTCTGTTATTGCTAAAGCTTAAACCACTCACGAAACTTAACACACCTTACTTCTATTTGGGGAGGATGGTCTCAAAAATGCTCATTTCAGACCTGTAGCTCTCTTTACAGAAAGTATTTTGCATTGTAAGTATCTTTGCTGTACTAGTCTGCTGAAGTCAAGTGAATTAAGTGGATCATTTTCACAAATGAATAAAGGAGTCTTGAATATACATATCACATAAAAACATTGTGAATGCATAATTATTTGAAAGTACATGAATAGTATGTAAAATGCATAAATGTGTTATTTGTGAAAACGCATCTGTTACTTGGTTATCTATTAATGTAACTGAAATTTTGCAATGTTAAACTTCTTAAAGATTGGTCTGTAGGTGATAATAGGTCTCTTCTCCATTCAGTGAACTGCTTATGCCACTCATTCTTATAAATAAAACTTGTATTTCATCCTTCCACAAAAGCAGGATTTCCATTGATTTTTGTTATTTCTGGTGAATTTAAGTATTTTAGTGCATTCCTATGGCCTTACAAACATTTTTGCAAATAAAACTTCAGTTATAGTTATTTCAATGCTATATAGCTACTAAATTCAGAATAAAAAGTATAGTCCTTGAGAAAATGCTTAATTTTGAAATAGAAGTATTCTACTGTGTGTGTTTAAGCACATTTTATCTCTGGTATAAAGGTGTAATGTGAAAAGCTCCTGCAGATAAAAGTGAACTTGTCATGTGGTTAACTTGTAAACCTAATCATTAATTGTGTATTGATGTGTATGGACAAAAAGCCCAAACCCAACCCCTAAAAAACCCTTTACACTCCAATGGTTTTATTATTCCATGTGAACTTTTTTTACAACAATATGTGTCTCAAATAAAGTTACATAATGAAAAGTATTGGGAGCATTTTGTATGAAATATTCCACGTAGTTTTTATACAGTTGGCACTTCCACTCTATTTTTGATACATCTGTTGTGGAAAGCTGTGCAGCTGAGTCGCATCTGTAAAGCTTTGCTTAACTTCAGTGGCAAACCACAAGGGCTTTTGTATGGCTTTGCTTGTTCCTAAGCTTGACTGTTCTTTAGATTTCTCCTGAAATATCCTCTATCCCTGTAGTGATTGCTTAAACCTAAGTATATTACTTCAGTGACCCTCAGCTTTATAAGAAACCATTTTTCCAGACATTTAGTGTCATGAAATACCCTTTTAAAGTAATTTCCGAGCAATGCTAGTAAAGATAATGAGACACAATCTCCAATGTGATAAGAATTTCTCCTCACTTAAGCTGTTAACATTTTTGTTGTTGTTTTAAATCAGTGTTATGTGAAAGGTATGACTCTTAAGTAACTTGAGGCACAAATATCATGAATTAATGTAGCGAATATTGTTTGTCCAGCTTCCTTCAACACTGAATATTGAGGGATTTGACAGAAATATTTGTTGGCTATTGTATTAGCAATAGTTCTTGACTTTCAGATTACTGTGGTTTGGCAGTAACTCACAATTGGTATGAAAATTAGCAAACCTAAAGAAAGAGTGGTTTTGTCTACCGAAGATAAAAGCAGATTAATGGTTAAGACACCCAAGCAGGCACCCTAAAGAATAAATGGGAAACACATGGATGACAAGTATCTTCTAAAGTTCATGCTTTTTACATGTTCACCTAATTAGCTGTATTTAGCTGAAAGGATGTATTGTCTCTTTACCTTAAGCAACAGAAAGCTAGTGTTGTGTTCTTGTTATGCCTTATTATTTTCTGGTTTTGCTTTGTTTTGTTGTGGTTTTTTTTCCAGGCTGCTTCTGCCAGACAAGTTTGCTGCTTTAGGACCAGCTGTTTAAACATTTTCTTGCAGATCCCCTTGATCTGAACTGATTCTAGATGATCAGCAGTCAGAAAGAAGTTAGTGGTATGCATCTGCATCCCAGTAACATGTTAAATACCTTTGTGTTCTCCATTTATTAAAAGGAAATAGCAGGCAATACATACACTGCTTGAAAATGGTGATTTGTTACAGTTCCTGGATGTATTTTTGGCTGCAGACTAGCAATTTACTGTACAAATAGTGCACACTTGTAGACCAAAGGCAAGTTGTGGATACATGTGTAGAATGTATCCAGCTTTTATAATCTGGTAAATTGCCTTTTTGCCAAGTGATTTGTTTTCCAACTTGGTTGACTGGTGGTTCTTTAGAATTCTTGAACTATACCAAAGTCATCAATTAAGATTTCAAAATAATTTTTCTTTAGAAAGATTCTAATCTTCAAGAGATACCTAAATGAAGCTTTTCTGTTGCATAATGTTATTCTCGCCATCTAGGCAATTAAAGGGCGTGGAATGTAAAACGTAAGAATTCTTAGTGCTCTAGGATGGTTTGTAGTTGCTTCAAAAATTCTTTACTGTCCTCAGCTGAGCATGTCAGCACTAAGGTTGTGGTGTGAGCAAATGTTACATGAATTCCTCTGAGCACACATTCAGTACATATTGTTCCTTCAATTTGAAAATGAAGTTGTAAGTTTTGAGCAGGATATGGGCATTT